GACATAGATTTCTAGAGTAAGTGGTTGGTTTTTACTATAATTACAGAAGACTGGATACATTATCCAGTACATTAAAAATGTAATTAGTACATTTATATTATATTATAATAGATACATTAAAAATGAAAATAGAAATTAAAAGGAAAAACATTATTATGGTGAAAAGGAACCCTGGCAACTTTGGCTAGTTCCACCTAAATCTAATTAATTTCCCCCTCAAATATATAACTGAGATTCTCTCAGCACATGGAACTCCAGTGCAGGAATTCCCTCTGCCACCAGGTAGATTTTAGGCAGCTAGGTGGATGAAGTGGATAGGATGCAAGGCCTGGTGTCAGGAAGACCTGAGTTCAAATCCAGTCTCAGACACTTACAAGCTATGTGATCCTGAGCAAGTCACTTAACCCTGTTTGCCTGAGTTCTTCACATGTAAAATGAGCCTGAGAAAGAAATGGCAAACCACTCCAGTATATTTGCCAAGAAAACCCCAAAATGGAAGAGTCAGACACAACTAAAAACAATCAATCAAACAAACTAAACAACAACAACCAGCCAATCCATGACTACTACACTAAATAAGTCTTAGGGATCTACTTGAATTAAGAGACCTGCCCAGGATCACACAGCTATTAAAATTCTGATTTTAGATTTGAACCCAAGTCTTTAGGGCTACAACCCCTGAACTATATCTACTCTTCTAAGCTGCCTCATAACTTCACTATTTTTATTCATATAGGTACTGGATACTAAATATGCAGAAGAGGTATTCCAGAAATATATCTGAATAGAAACCACAAAGAAGAGGGGGTGAGAAAAGGGCTTTATCTCATTTCAAACATGTAATTTTGTAACGGTACAGCTTATCTTCTGGCTGGTAAAAGTTTCTTAAGAGTATAGTCTTCAAAGCAATTTTTAATGCTAAAGGTGGCTTGGTAAAACATGTAATGGCAAGCTCCATATCTCTATTCCTATTTCACCAAAATCTGACATGCCTACAAAGACCAAAACTCACAAGACATATCATGATCTTAAAAATACTTTCCCTTCTCATCCTCCCATCTGCCTTTCTGGAAAACATTGGTAATAACTCAAACTACACCAGTCAGCAAGAAAGCATCATGTAACAGAGGCCACTTACACCAAATTCTTGATAAGGAGCCCTGAAGTACATACTTCCCCATGTGAGATAAAGAGCAGGATACAGAAAAGAAAATTATGCTCGATTTTTTTTATTTCCTGGCTAAAACCAAATCCCCAGCATGCATTAAAGCTCATAAAAACAGGGACAGATGTGAATTAGCCAAAAAATGTCCTGTCATCCAGCCACTACTCATGGGGACCTTGCCAAAACACTTCTAAGGAAGTGATTTCACAAAGAATTAGGACCCCAAAATTTAGTACTTTATGGAAACTAAGCTCAATATTTCAATTATACCCAGATCTGAAGATGCTTAGTTAGGATGGAGTAAATGGAAGGTCAAAGCACCCTTAACTTGATATAGGGAACTCTCCTCCATCAACTGAAACTCTTCAGTATAACATACTATAGCATCAGACACTGTAGGGACTTTAGCATTTCAACTCTTCCAGAGGAAAGCTGAGCAAAAGGTTGATTTGTTATTTTTAAACTGAAAGGGAGGAGGAAAAAAAGTATTTTGAAAGATCTTGGAGGTCCCTGCTCCAAGATGTATGCTTCTATTAAGGATCACTATATATGCATGCATTTATACATGTAATAATGTTAATATTAATAATGTAAAAATTTTAATGGCTATATATATGAATACTGAGGTCACACTTTCAAGCCACAAAACACCAGAAGTTTAAAATTTGATCAGATTTTTTTAAAAAATCATATTATCTTCTGCTTTGTATTAGTGACAAGAAGTACACAGATGCCCATTCACTAATTTCACTACCCTCCAACCATTCCCTTTAGCAATTTTTATCATTTCCATCCCGGTTATAAATCCACACCCACTATATGGATTCTAGGTACATGTGAACCAGGAAGGTATACTAATTTTTTCCTATGACTTATGTCAATGGATTTGACTGTGGTGGAAGTGAAAGAGGGAGCTGGGCACACAGATGAACAAACAAATAACTGAGAAGGTTATGACATACATCTTATAGAATACCACAGGTAACACTGCTGAGCTCCCTGAAGTTTCCCAGCCCAACAGATACATCATCTCCTCTGGTTTCAGAAGCAGTTAAATCTTCTGCAATCTGGTGAAGCTTATGGACTTCTTCTCAGAACGATTTTAATTATAAAGTAAAACACATGGGTTTACAAAGGAGCCCAATTTATATTGCAATAGGTATCAAAATATTTTTTAAAATCGAGATCTTAGTTTAAGAACCACTGCTCTAGTATAAAAAAAGCACCCAAAAAAAGGGAAAGAAACAGAAGGAAGAAGGAATAAGCACTTATTAAGTGCCTATATGTTCCAGGTACTGTGCTAAGCTCTTTTCAAATCTAACCTCATTTGGAGGGAGGGAACGTTGGAAGAAGGAAGCAGGCAGGGGGGAGGGAGAGAGAAGACAGGGAGAGAAGGAGACAAAGAGAAAAAGGAAGAGATAAGGGAAAAGAACTATAACCACACTCTCTCTTCAAAGGGACAAAACTTCCTATTTCAGGACCCTTTTATTTCTTGGTGGTTTTTTCTCCTAATGACTATTAGTCTGAACAGATATTTTAATTACATTTTATATCTGAACATGTTAAATTGCAAATTATGGTCAAGGAACGATTGTGGGGATATCTATTATAAATAATACCATAATGTCAAAACAGAATCGAAGCTTTGTCCTTTTCAAAAACCTCCTGGTTCTTTCAAATCCGTGGAACAAAGAGGGTACTAATCTACTACCAAGGCTGAGATGAGACGTAGAGTGTGCGTCACACACAACCTCACCCAAATAAAAAAAAAAACTCAAACGGGACAGTTTCAGGGATAAAAGTGAAACGGGATAGGGGTCAGCTCCAAACTTCCACCCCACCCTCAAAAGGTTTTCCTTCCCATATCTGGAACTAAAGTTGTTTGTGTCCTTTAAATGAGGGATAAAGATATGCATGCACCCTCTAAGATGCTTTTTGCCTCTTTCCAAAGGTAACACACTCCCCGAATCACGCCCCAACTTCCTGGTCCTAGGCAGAAAATTTTTCGCTCCAACCCCATACCGCCTCCAACTGGCTTCCACCTGCGGCTATGGGAGCATGTAAAGCTTTGCAAGGGTGGATGTCTTCAGACAAGGAATGGAAGGGGAGAGGAGGGAGTCAGTGGAAGGACCTAATGAAGTATATAACAAGTCCAGGCTTCCTGCGCTCTCCCTCCATCCTTTTACCCAGAAACCTGGCCCCAACAGTTCTTGCACTGCTTAGTAAGCGGCTCGTGGACTCTCAAAACAGGGTGTTAGTCAAATAACCAAATTCCACCCGCAGCTTCACCCCTACCCCCTATTCCTAGAGAAAGCTATACAGCTATTAAATAGCATGAGTATACATTATATGATATATTACAGAGTAAAAATGTATACACATAAGCCTCCCAAATCCTTCTGTGTGGAGAGGGTTTGTTATAGAGAGAGTCAGGACTAAAACGGACTAGACTTCATGCTCACTGACAACGGGAAAATTCTGCTTCTGCCTTTTCTGCTCCGAGGCCCCTGAGTTCCAAGAGGAGACCACCACCACCACTCCCCAGGCCTCCCGCCGCCCGGCATTGGCACCATAGTGGGCAACAGAAGAGCAGATGAGAGATGTCAAATCCCCTCCTGACCCTCCCCCTCTGTAGAAGGTAGCTCGCTGGCAGGCTCTAGAAGGGGCTAGAGGAGCCCAGGTTCGGGGAGGAGTGGTGGGTGGCAGCGCCGCGGGTCAAGGGACTGAACCCCAGGCTGCCCCCCCCAACAACTTTCGGAATTGCTAAGGGTTGAGTAAGGGAGGCGTACGGGCAGGGTGCCTGCCTCGCGAGGCTCACTATTCGGCAGGAAGTTCCCTAAGCTCCACTGAGCATGCTCTCGCCTTTCCTCCCTCCCCGCCTCCTCCTCCCTTTCCCTTCCCCCCCCCCCCAGCTTCTCTCGCCTCTCGCTTTTCCCAGACTCATAAACCACCCCGAGCTGGCGGGCTCACAATCTGGCAACCGCGCTCCCAGGTCTCGCTAACCCCCTAAGTGGGCACTGGCCCGCGTACCCCTGGGGCGGAGGGAACAGAGGAGGCCGCAAAAGGCCAGCGCTGCCCATAGCGCTAAGCTCGCCGCATCTACAACCTCAGTCTCCGTGGGAAGCGCTCGCTTTCTGCCCCACCATCCCACTCCACCATCCCACCCCAACAAACTCCCCCTACAACACACCCCATTGCAGAGACCTCCTAGCCCATTCCCTTACTCCCTGAACCTGACCCCTGACCCCCTGGCATCCCGGCGGCAGGAGAGCCTGCGCCCTCACCTCGACTTCAAGAGGACTCCCGTGGGTGGGCAAGGCTCGGTCTCGGAGTCTCCCATTTTTAATAGCCTAATCGCTCATCCTCCTGCCCATCTCTCTTGGACTTCTCTCCCGAAGGGGATGCCCATGGGCTTCCAACATCCCAAACAAGCCTCAAACAACCCCGAAAGCTGTCCCCCTCTCTCCAGGGAGGAGCAGACCCAAGCTCGGCTCCCCGTCCCACGGGTGGGACTGCGGAGGGGGCACGAAGGCGCCAATGTCTGGGCAGCAGCACACCCCGGCTCTGAGTCCCAAGGTCCCACCGGAACGGCCCGAGCGCTGGACAGCATCAGAAGGAGGGCAAAGCCGGGGAGGCTCAGAAGCTGCCACCCCGCTCTGCCTCTCGGCTTGTCCTAGTCACCCTGTCCCTCTCTTTCTGGAAGCACAGCTTCCCTTCTCCAGCGGGGCGGCAGGATGGCGTGCTAGGGTTGAAAGCAGAGGGGATGGGGAGGGGATGGGGGCGTGCATCCTTCTCTAGCCCGAGAGCAACAAAAATCATCGCAGACGCTTCTTACCTCTCGGGCTGCCTCCCTTAGCAGCAGCAGCAGCCCCTGGAGGAGCTGTTCACCCGTCGTCTCTTATATGAGCCAGTGTGCAGGGATGCGGGGTTGGGCGGGCAGGAGGTCACACCGCCTGCAGGCTGCAGTAGCCGCAAGGACCGCCGAGCCCGCCTCGCAAGCTACCTGGGAATGGAATCAGAGCCCGCTAGCCGCCGCCGCCGCCGCCAAAGCTGCAGGGTCGTGGAAACTGGCCGAGTCAGGGACAGTCTACAAACTCCCAGCCTTGGCAGGGACCGTGCACACAACGCGCGAACACTTTACAGAGAGGGAGATACGCTGTCAGGTTTTCGAGAGCTGGGGGCGAGGGTTCCTCTGCAAATTCCTCAACCCTCCCCTCTCCATCCCACCTCACCAACTTCTGCCGGCTCCTGGGCCATAGCAAAAGAAGACCTGGATTGCGGCCAGGGACTGTCTGCAAACTCCCCGCCCTCTCAGTCACTGTACACAACCAATTCTGAACCAAAGAGCTCGGTTTAGGGACGGTCTACAAATTCCTAAATTTACTAGAGAAGCATTCTCCCCTACCTACCTCTCTTTCCTGCTCCGCTGCCGCCTCCCCTCTTACTACCCAAAAGTCAGCAATTAAATCGAAATCACTTGACACCTCTGATTGAGGAATTAACTAAACTGGTACTAAAGTTAGCGGCTTTTCGCAAATTCTCGCATGAGCAAGGACTCTCATAATAATCCAATACAGACAGAAATTTTGAACTGGCTGAACCCTATATTAATTAGGGAGGGAGACAGCATAGTGTAAAATCAATAGCTGAAGGATCAAGAGACCTGGGCTTTGACTCTGACTCTCAAAATGACCTGCAAATTTGTGACCTTTGTTAAGTCACCTAGCGTCTCTCCCTTTCTCGTCCTCTCTTCACTTATTCGAGAGATAAAGAGTGTGGATTTCCAGCTCCTAGAATCTATGGAAATTATTAGCATCTCCCTGGTTCTTGGGGGAGATTCCAAAGGAGAAAGATTTACTTCTCCTGAGGGGAAGGAGCTAGCTTGCAACAAACATTGACTGGAATTGCATCCAATTAAGCCTTCAAGCCTTCAGAGAAACCATCTTAGACAAGTATATTAATGATAAGCATTATTTCACATTAAAAGAATAGCATAATGAATTAGCTGGAGATGATAAACAGCAAATTTTACAATCTCAGCTGGTACCAAGGGAAATCTCTCAAAGATCTGATAATAATAGCTAATATTTATATTTATTCATAGTGACTTAAGGTTTGCAAGGCACTTTGCTTATATATGATTTCATTTGATTCTCACAATACCACTGTGAGGGGGGTGTTAATTATCCCCATTTTGCCGATAAAGAAACTGAGGCAGGTTAAGTAACTTACTTGCTCAGGGTCACCTAGTAAGTAAATGTCTGAGGCAGAATTTGAACTCAAGTCTTCCTGACTCCAGATCTAACATTCCATGCACTTCACCAAGCTGCATCTCAACTACTAGGCTTATTAACACTTTGTAATAAAGGGTTTAGTAGTAGAGCCAGGGGATCTATCTACACTGTAAAACCAGAATTAGTTGTCTTTTTAGAATGACGATACAGAAGCCCAATTGCTTCTGCTGATTATTCTCTATCCCCCCATTTCTAGCATGATCCTTCTGGCAGTCAAGCATGCCTAAATGCTTTCAACTAAACTAAGGACTAGGAACATAGATTGCATAGCTGTAAAGGACCTCTAGAGATCTTTTAATCCAAGTTTGTGAAACGGATCTTAACAGTAGCAAAGGTGAACCTGGGTCTCCTAACACTCAGTCCGTGACTATCTCCACTGCACTATAAAATCGATGCTTTTTCCTTCACCCCCCAGAGCCACCAGACCCTTTAAACTTAGCCTCAGAGTGTGGCTACAGTAACCATACCTTTCATGTGATTCTACTTACAGATTCAGGCAAGAGTAAGAAATTTAAGTAATCATTATCATCTTGATTAATTCGATTTGACCCCTCTAGGCTTTGATTTTCACATTTACAAATGGAAGAGTTTGGACTAGAAGACCTCTAAAGTTCCTTCCATCTCTAAATGCATGACCCTGTAAACCTCCTGCCTAGGTTAAGTTAGAGAATACATTCTTTTTGCCAGAACATTCAGAAACTGCCCAGAATGGTGTTTTTGTTTTTGTTTTAACTTTATTCAAGTCTCCATAGAGTAATTCATTAGAAATCAAGGAAACTTTTCTGACAATTCCTTTTAACAAAAGAAGATGTTTAGAGTGAAGCATGTGTTTGAGTGCATATTAACCTCAATCCCTAGGAAGATGGGCAAGTCACCTCAGGTTTTTCTCAAGGCACATTTAGGGAGGAAGTAGAATGGTGACACCTGGTGGTGATTAGACACTCTACTTTTGATACAGATGGCTTCCATTCTGATGATTGCCTAGACAAGAGTAAAGTGTCGTTGTCTGATTAATAACTTACTACCTAACCTAGAGCTCATAGATTAACTTGGAAGTCATAGGTTAAGGTCAAACTTGAAAGTTCCAACTTGAAAATCTTAAATTAAGTTCAATGGAATCACTATGATTTAACCTCCAGAATTAAAAAAAAAATTACAATGGAATGTGTCTTTGGCAGAAAAACCCATGTCCTGAGGTTTAATACTATCCTGCAGCTTTTTCCAGGGAGAAGACATTGTAATTTACATAACAGATGCTGAAAATCAGTTACTTCTATTCACAGTCATGAGAATAAAAAACCACAAAGATGCTTCCTAGGTGGGAAGTGGGTTTTTCATCCAATATTCCCCGGGTGAATATTTTGCCAATTGAGGAGAAAAAAAGAATCATTGGAACTTTAATCACAAGACTTCTGTGAGCCAACATCCAGGTCCTATAAACCTACTGAATGATAAAGTAACTTTTAAAGCGTTCCACCCTTGTGAATGGCAATGTCATGATGCTACAAGGAAACTTTTAGATGTATTTGACAGTAATGTAGTTATGCTTATTAACACCATTCTGTCTAATTGGCTTGCTATTTGCAAATTTTAGTTTTACTATGAAAACTTAAAAAAAATTATTAAGCATTAATTATGTGTCAGACATTGTGTTAGGGATACAAATATAGAAGAATACCTGACCTCAAGGAGTTTATATTCCAATAGGAGATAACATAAATAAAGTGGTGACAAAGGAAGAGAAAGTATTGGGATTCATGGGGATCCCACAGTTCATTGGTGGGGACTTCTCCCTTTGTCCTGATTTATATCTTGCTACTGGACCCAGATGGCTCCAGAGGAAATAGTGAGGCTGGTGACTTTGCACAGCCCTCACTCATTTAAATCTGATTCACTTGCAAGTCATGGCATCACCTTCCAGATGCCATGGTCCTCTTCAAGAATGAAGGACAAACAATAACCTGTGAGTAGTACAGTACGAGCTACTCCACTGAGGACCCAACTGGCTAGTTCCGGTTGAGCAATGCAGTTCCTCCATTTCTTCCCTCCTTCTTCCTTCTTTTCCTTTTCACTTCTCCTTTCCTTTCTCCTTTCCCCTTTCCTTTGTTTTTCCTTCCCTTCCCTTCCCTCCTTCCTCTCCCTCTGTCCACACTGGATATTATGGCTATCATATTCTCAGCCCAGAGAAATATAAATTTTGATCCGTGAAACTTTCTAAGGTATCTTGTTATTGCCTTAAACCCAATTCACTCTGGCTCTTATTGATTGGCCAGTAATCAATCCAGGCTCAGGCCCCACTTAGGGGCCATTGTTTAGGCCTGCAAGGCTCAGAGGAAACATAAATAGCAGTTGTTTCTGTTTTGGCCAGAAACCCTGAGGGTCTTCCCCTCCCAGAGTGATTTTTTTTTTTTACTAGATAAAAGAGGCCATTCTTTGTCTCATTTCTTGCCTAACCTTAATTGCTGAATGGGTGTGGCCTCAGTCAAACTGAGACCTGGAAAGAACTTAGCTTAAAAAGGCCAAGGTCTCCCACAGCATCCTGGGCTATCTCCAGTCATCCTGATTTATACCTAGCCACTGGACCCCAATGGCTCTGGAGGAAAAAGTGAGGCTGATGACTGCACAGCCTGCCCTCACTCAAATCTAATTCACTTGCAAGTCATGGCATCACCTTCCTGATGCCATAATCCTCTTCCAGAAGGAAGAACAAACAACAACAGAAGTTGATTGATAGAATAGGTCAGTGACACATTCTTTCCAGAAGTACATATGGTAGCATTGATTTGATTATTGAACCTAGAGCAAGAAGGGCATGGGAGTTACCGGTATTGTTGTTGTTTGTTCTTCATCCTTGAAGAGGACCAAGAACATCACAAGGGTAATGTTTTGACTTGAGCATAAATTGGATATAAGTGAGGCAAAGCTTAAGAAAGGAATCAATCAGCCTCACTCTCTCCTCCAGAGACACAGAAATCCAGTGGCAAGACAAAGGACAAGATGGTGATGGCCCACAATGCAGTGGGTAATCTTGGCCTTTCTAAATTAAAGTATTTCCTGGGTTTCAGTTCTCGAGAGGCCACACTCATTCAATGACTAAGGGCTAGGTCTGAGTTGAGACCAAAAAAATGGTTCTATTTACCTTCACAAACACACCAATCTAGGAGGGGAAGACCCTCAGAGTTTCTGACTAGAACAGAAAACAATTGCTATTTTTACTTATCCTAAGCCATCAAAACCTAAAATCTAAACAATGAGCTGCAGAGGCTTAAGCTGGGGCTATTTGGCTATTCAATGAAAGCCAGAGTAATTTGGATTTTAAGGAGGAACCAAATAGCTCCATTTACAACACAATGGGCTTTTAAAAGCTTGTCTTTTAAGAGCTATATTTCAAGAAATCAAAAAATGAAAACCACACAGGACAAAAAGAAAATTGTCCCAGCTTTTTGAAAAAAATTAATGGAAATAAATGAATGAAGAGAACAAGGAGGAGGAGAAATTACTACTACTACTACTACTAATAATAAATAGTAATAAATCATTCTTTCTCCTAAGAACCTGGTTCCCTTCCCACAAATATACACAATATCCATGGGAGAGGTAAGCTTAAACTTAGACTATAATAGTAGTGAGAAACACATGGAAGAAATATGTGTGGCAAGATTTAACTCACTTCCTATGTAAAGACCTTCATGAAGAACCCTCATTGTTGTTGTTTATCCCTCATTCTCAAAGAGGACCAAGGATATTGAGATAGTAATGTTAGTATGCAGCTAGGGGGGTGGGAGGAATAGTAAGATGGCCATTGTGTAGAATTGGATGGGAGATCGAT